GTTTTCCAACATTAAGCGGAAAATATCACAAGGAATTTTAGGGTTTTGCTGTTTGGGCAAATTGGGATTAGAAGATTTAGAAGTAGGGACTTACCGCGACGACTGGGCCGAGACACCAACTCCGTATTTCCGCCGCCGGAGATTGTATTCCGACCGCGATGGACCGTGGAGTTATTGTCGGAGGTGTCGGAGGTGTGGAAGATACAGATACAGTTTGTGTTGTCCAAAATTTCGTGCTTTTTTCACACTTTTTTTTCTTTGTTTTATTTATTTATTTATTTATTGCTCATTCAATCATCTCATTCCCTTGAAGAGTCCAAGTGGTTTATTTAGGACAAATTATTTTGGGCCGTTTAGTTTAAATGTGTATAATACATAGTTTAGTTAGTTCTAATTAGAAATATATGTGTTCTCTAGCCCAGAAAGTTACCTATGGGCCTAATGTTCGGAGGGCCCGGTGCGGGTGCACCTTCTTCCCATAACTCCAGCACATATTAATAATTCACATATTACTCAACTCAACACAAACACACACAGCAACATTTATTGCTACTGCGATGGCAACAATTATTTCCGAACATGCATGTGAAATAATGATTAGATTTTATATTATTTATTTTGTCAATAATAATAAGTCATATTTATGGTTCCCTTTAGTTATAATTGAAAAACAATTACGCTACACACGCATGTAGATATATCATTTCCTTACTATTTTTTTTTTTCTTTTTTCGAATTATTAGAATCAAACAAAGTATAAATAAAGGTCCCCTTTCTCTATATGAATTATTAGAAAGTATATATAGCATGAGAAGAGAGAGAAAATGAAATAAATTTTATGGTATCAACTTGTTTGTAACATTTAACAATTGGTAATATAGTGCAATTCAACTTCTTATCGATAAAGAATGACATAAACTTTCACACAATAACACGTGTCACGATCTTATTACTTTACATATCAGATCGACCATAAAAGTAGGAAAAAATAACCAACCAAGTGAAACATAGTAAATATATTAAACACTTAATTACAACCCAAACACTTATTATTTTTTATAGATCATTTTATACAAACTAGTGTGTATCTCGTGCGATGCACGTGTAAACAATATTACATAATAATTATAAATAGGTATCGAGTTCGAGTCACTCAATGAAAGAAGTGGGGAACCACTATTGATCTTCTCTTTAAAGAGCAAGAAAAAATATTATAAATTAAAGATGAGTGTAAACGATATTAAATAATAATTATAAATTAACGATGTGGTGTTAACATGTCATATGTTTTACGATATATCAGTTTATTATAAACGATATAAAATTAACTTGTTCAAGATAACATAAAAATTCGTATATTTGAACAGTTAAAAACTCCTAAAATATTATATTAACATATGTAAAATTATTTAAAATTTTCTATATTATTAAAAGATGTGAAGTCACCTACAATTTTTCTAAACTATTTTGTTAAACAAACATATCTAAAAACATTAAAGTTTACATTTGTATGAAATATGTTTTCTGAACATGACATGATAATATATTATAAGCCTTAATAAATATTTTATAAAATTTTTGAGAGAAAATTTACCTAGTATATATAAAATAAATACTAGGTATATAAATACTAGTATATATAAAATAAATACCTAGTATATAAAATTTGCTCGTCATTATCGAGGGGTACCATCACAATTTCAATGTTCTTACCAATTTTTTTCAAGCCCTCGTGAGTTTCGACTAGCTTCTGTTTGAAAGATATGAATTATAAACCGATAGTTTTGCCTTCCAGCTCAGCAATTCGAACCTGTATAATAACACAAGAGATTGATTATACGATAGCACGTAAATTCTCAAACTTTAAATGAACAATAAAAAAAAGCGTACCTTCTCCCCATTAGATTTAATCACAGTCTCTCGACCCGTATGCAAGCAATGACTTGAGCGATTGGTTCTGCCTAGCTTCAAATTCTTGTAACTTGGGCTGCTCGATCTTTTCGGAGTTAAAAGGGTACCCTTCCAAACCGTATTCTTGAATTATTCGTACGCCTTCCTCGGACAATAATTTCCCACTGTAATCCAAAAACACGAGATGAGGTATCCCATCGAAACTAAACGTCTTGTCCAGTTTTTTGCGTGTCTTTGTATCGGAAAAAGGGACTGCAAGCCAGGGCATTTTAGAGAAATAAGAGTTAAACGACTCGTCAACTTGGTCGGCAGATATGAAGATGACCTCAAATTAGTCAACTTGTTTGAGTTCATTGTAGGCCTCGACTAAATTTGGGGTGAACCCCTGGCATGGCCCGCACCATGATGCGGAGAAATACAACCCAACTGTTTTCCCCCATCAAATTATCAATTTTAACCTAGCAGAAAAAGGAAAGAAAGAATATGAAATTAACAGATTTTTGTGCATGTTTTAGCTCATTTGATGGGTTAAAAAGCCAACAAGTAATGACATTGAGTATACACCTTCGTTTGATTTTTGGAAATAGGGTCAAATGTTTTAATCAACAAATGTAACCATGAATTTCCTTCTCCCTCAGCAGCTTTACGGATTTAAGATCAAAAGGCGGAGATTTTGGAATAGAACAGAAAGGAGAGATTATTAGGTCCTAATTCGACGTAACTGATTTCGAACCTCGGTCTAGCTTACACTTTAGCTAAAATCTCGGTTCGAAATCAGTTTCATCAAATGTAACTAATTATTAAGTCAGGAACTCGGTGTACCTTACTCAGCTACACTTAGCATCATTAAACAAAATAACCATAACAACCAAACAAAATTTCAAACTTTTTTACAAAGTTCTTACAATTACGTCAATCAAAACAAGTTACACCTAGCATCACCAATCAAAACAACAACAACACCAAACAAAAATTCAATCTTTTACAATATTGTTAACTGCTGTAATCGATTCTGAAGCTCGGCCTAGCTTACACTTTAGTAGCATCAAACATAATAATGAGAAAAACCAAACAAAAATTTAATCGATTGCGAAGCTCAGTCTAGCTTAAACTTAGTATCCACAAACAAAATAACGAGAACAACAAAACAAAATTTAATCTTTTTACCATTCTGTTAACTGCTGCAATCGATTCTCAAGCTCGGCCTAGCTTACACTTAGTAGCATCAAACATAATGAGAAAAACTAACCAAAAATTCCAATTTTTTTACAATTATGTTAGCTACTGTAATCGATTGTGAAGCTCGATCTAGCTTAAACTTAGCGCATCCACAAACAAAACAACGAGAACAGCCACATTAAAATTCAATCTTTTTACAATTATGTCGACGCCCAAAAATGTTTCAGCTGCAATGCCCCATCTAAAGAAGTGAAACAAATCAACAAATAACAACAGATAAACAAAGACCAAAAGGTAAAACAAGAACGCATATTAACTGAACTTCACATACAACTCCCACGAAATGCAGCCTTGAAATCAAGAACAAAAAACAATCTAACTGATGTAGAACGTAGTACGATTGGGAATAAAAATGAGATTCTCTCGCAAGAACAAACGAACAAAAATTTCAATTCATCAATAATCTGTGTTCTCTCCTATTCTTGCTAAACACTGCAATTTATTTATTATCCTACCATAATTACTAAAATAACCAAAGGAAATAAAACTAAAAGAGTACTAATAATAATAAGAAATAAATAGACTAAACCCGGTCATATTTAAACTAAAAGAGTGCTACAAAAGGAACATGCTTTCACCTTGTAATTCCTGTTCCCACAGTGCACCCACAGTGCAGGAAGTCTTGGACACTAATAAGGACTATAAGCCTTACGCGAGGCCTGCTTCGTACATTCGCGTGAGGGACGATGAGTTGACTCATGCTCTTGCTCGATCGACCGCAATTTACGACATGGACTGTGATGATGAGGTGTGGTTGGTTGATTTTAACGACGAGCTGTGTAGGGGTGAGGAAGTAGTTGAGCTTGTAACGCCTGAGAGTTTTGAGTCGATCATTGATGCTCTCGAAAAAAGATTTCACTGCAATTCGAATAATAATTTGGACGAGCAAGCGGTCTGTGATTCTTGCATGCATTTGGTGAGAAAGGAAGTTGTTAAGGCCATTCATGGCTATTGGGTTAAAAGCAGAAACAGGCTATGCTTCAGACTTAACAGGCTTTGGTACAGAGGCTTTGGTACAGGGCCATCAGGATTTGCTACAGGCACTTCTGGACCAACAAGCTATACTTCACGGCCATCACGGTCTATTTCAGGGCATGCTTTAGACTAATCTCCAGCTGGGCAATCAAAGGACGGCTACATTACTCCAAGTCATGTCTACGAGGAGTAGAAATCAACACATCCAGACACGACAAATGAATGCACCCTTTGCCCTCTTGCCAAAATTGTATGCCGGTCATCCATTTCCGCAGCCGCAACCCGTCCAAGAGGTGAATATTATTAATATGGGGCTTATCAAGTGGGTGATATGCCCCCTAATGGACTGCTGCCTCTAACTAATAATGAGTTTGCAATGATGCAGAAGCGACCCCCGCCTAATTTGAGAAGAAGACTGATAGCCATTTATTGGTTTTATAACGATGCCAGTCTGAACATCCCCCACAATGCCACACAGGATATCGGGGGATGTCCAGACTTGCATCATTATAAAATCAAGAAATGACTCTCAATGTTCTCCTCCAGGTCTTGCTTCAGCATTGCTACAAACTCATTATTGGTTAGAGGCACCAGTCCATTGGCGGCATATCACCCACTAGATAGCCCCCTATATTAATATTCACCTCTTGGACGAGTTGCGGCTGCGGAAATAGATGGTCGGGATACAATTTTGGCAAGATGGACAAGCGTACATTCATCTATCGTCTCCGGATGTGTTGATTTCGAGAACTCGCCGTCATGACTTGAAGTAATGTTGTTGTCCTTCGATTGGCCTGTTGGATAGCTTAAAGCGTGTCCTGAAATAGAGATTGATATCCTGAAGTATACCCAAATGGCCCTGAAGTAGAGCTTGCTTGCTGGCCCTGAAGTGTTTGTTGCAAAGCCTGATGGCCCTGAATCGTAGCCAATTGGGTATGCTCCATATCCTGTATTGTCTCCACGATAACCTGAAGCAATTGCATCAAACTCTGGGGATTGGAGCCACCTCATTCACTCTTATGAGGACATCATGGTACCTCAAGTCTCGTTGTGCGGCATCCAAATTATTTATATTTGGAACCTTATCGATCAAAGTTTTCCTCCAACGATCCTCAGTCGCGATCTGGTCGTTGTTTGGAATTACTCCAAAAGGAAGAGGGTCCACGTCTATGTTCGTTACCGTAAACCTCTCATTTTGCACTCTAAGATCGACTTTAGGATTTTGGACTACGTAGTCACTCAATCCCGGTAAATTAGCCATGGTGAGAATAACAAATTATATTCAAAAATTGCAAAATTCAATAAATAAAAAAACAATCAATCCATAATCTCAGCATTTGCACAAACCACACAGAACTTAAAAATGAAAACCCATTATATATTTCACAAAATCTGCTGCTAAACAACACCAACTAATAAGAGCTCATCAATTATTTAGCCTCACAATCGTAGTTTTCCAACATTAAGCGGAAAAAATATATCACAAGGAATTTTAGGTTTTGTTGTTTGGTCAAATTGGGATTAGAAGATTTGGAAGTAGGGACTTACCACGACGACTGGGCCGAGACACCAACTCCGTATTTCCGCTGTCGGAGATTGTCTTTCGACAGGCGATGGACCGTGGAGTTATCGCCGGAGATGTGGAAGATACAGATACAGTTTGTGTTCTCCAAAATTTCGTGCTTTTTTCACACTTTTTTTTCTCTGTTTTATTTATTTATATATTTATCGCTCATTCAGTCATCTCATTCCCTTGAAGAGTCCAAGTGGTTTATTTAGGCCAAATTATTTTGGGCCGTTTAGTTTTAATGTGTATAATACGTAGTTTAGTTAGTTCTAGTTAGAAATATTTGTGTTCTCCAGCCCAGAAAGTTACCTATGGGCCTAATGTACGGCGGGGCCGGTGCTGGTGCACCTTCCCATAACTCCAGCGCATATTAATAATTCACATATTACTCAACTCAACACAAAGTCACACAGCAACATTTATTGCTACCGCGTTGGCAACAATTATTTCCGAACATGCATGTAAAATAATGGTTAGATTTTATATTATTTATTTTGTCAATAATAATGTCATATTTATGGTTGCCTTTAGTTATAATTGGAAAACAATTACGCTACAC